TGACATTGGATTATTTTCATGTGTTTCGCTCATGCCTCCAAGTCGAAGTTCATCGACGAACCTCTGGATTTCTTTCACGAGGTGGCAAAAAATAACTGATTTTCGCTTCAAGAACCTGATAGACTATCTCAGGGACATTGTATGCACGACGATTACGGTATATGTTGACTTCCGGTGGTGTTATGCTCGGTGTACGCGTCATCGACATTGTGTTCTTGCGGACACTGTCAAGCACCTCTCACCTGGTCGTATTCATTGTCGGTCACATCAAACACCGCAACAATCATTGTCTCAAACCGTAACTGTTGCGCAACGTTCGCCTCATTATTCAAACAAGCAGACCTCGTAATTTACCTTATTAAAACGTCATCACCTTTATATTTCCGCTTACTGTCGCTCCACCTTGGCCGCTATACGATGACCAAGTAAAATAGTGAACTCAACCGGAGGAATATCACTACGGATGGAGAATCCTCGACTGAATACTCCTTCAAAATCGATATTGATTAGCGCTTCTGCCGATTTTTCTATGTAATACAACCTACGAGGTAAATAACTTCGGTTGAAACCGACCAAAATACGCCATACCTTCAATTTCCACTAATACTTGTAAAATGGTTAAGGTTCCAAAAGCTCGTGGACAGCTACTCATAATCTAGACAGTTCTATGTCAACTATTATTATTTATTACTATTGTTCGGATGAATCCAAGCCTTTGGAGGGACTAATATTGGTGTTGAACATTCGTATAAGTTCGCTCTCCCCTTGCTAGGCAGCTGGAAGGATTCAGGGCTACATATACCCTGAAAACCGGAAGATTGAAGAGCCAAAATCGGAAGTCTACAATTTGCATGACATCCAGCCTTTATACTCTTACTAATAATACAAACTATGGTATGGGATGGGGCAAAAGAGAGGCGAAATCGTCAGAAAATCTTCGATTTTGGGCTAAAGGTAGATGTTGATAACACATCGGCATAACCTCCTGCGAACATGAACGAATCACCTGTCGTCTACTCAAGAAAACCCCAGCTTTTTCTTTAAATTTTCACTTGACAAAAATTGCTGTGTTGTCTTTTGATATTTTTGGAGGAAATTTTTGATTCCCAAGTTCTTCATGGTCATAATATTCCACATTAGTACAAGTAACTAATTATTTCGTCGTTTAATGGCCAATTAATCGGTCAAACGATGCCAATGCTGGACTCCTTAGATGCCGACCGATTGAGTAATGAAGTACCCAGTAATTAATTTGCGTTTTCGGTCCGAAAAAGGCACAAAAGTGTATTCCACCTATATTCTGTTCAGCAAAGCCTTTCTCGGGAAATTCGCTCAAAACTAGCCCCAAACATGGATACTTTCAAGTTACTTCAACTGAAAAGCTGGAAATGTGAAGAACTCGTTGACAAGTTTTTGCAAACATTACCATGTAAAAGAGCACTCTTCATGCAGTACTGAAGAAGCAAATAAGTATGGAGTAATGTAGTTTTTGGCTAGCGATAGGGACCCGTCTCCAAAGAAAGACATCCAAAGCCTTCACCCGAGCTTCCGGAAATTGAAAGGTGAACACGGAAATCGGACGAATCAGATGACCACCCACAATGAATGGGATAAATCCACAACTACCCGGACGTGGAAGAGACTCAAATCAAACCATATCTGTAAAGTATGTATGCCTAATACTTGAGGACTTTGATTAGCGACCTTCCGAATCCACAACCGAAAAGTTATCGGAAATCGGAAGCCTGAACAAGGTTAGGGTTCCTTCAAGGGTGGAGACGTCGGGAAACCCCCACCAATGAACTTTCCAAGCATTTTCATCGTATTCACGAGATCTATGTTCAAGTCGGGCACCCATTTCGCGCGTTTCATGGTACGGGGCAATTAGCTGTTCAACTCTGACCTTTTCGGAGGCACTACACGGCCAAATTAGGCTCGAACGGAAACTGTCGAGCTGAAAACTGGATTCTCGAAAAACTTTCGGAGACCATGTGCAAGGATTTCTCGAGATTCCATTCACCAGCTGGGCAATTCCCACTTGAGCACCATTTGGAAGCTCAATGCTTACTAAGATCGGAGTTGAACAGCTAACTCCAGGGACCACGCGCATGAATGAGACACGGCTTTTTTTCTTTTCCACTGGTCCTTACTTGTATAGGGAGAAGCCAGCACTCATTTCCCTCATTTGATGTAGGTTAGTATTACCTGGGTGAAGATTGGTTGCTTGCGATGATGATGATTAGGTTGGCGATGATGATGGGCTATTGTGTTCGGGGGGACAAAGACCAAAGTATGTGTAGGCATGCAGTATGTGCGCTGACAGTTTTTACAATATTTCGTCCCTATGCTTAAGCAGATTACATGCTCTACTTGTGTTTTTACCGTTCTTCCGGTACTCATCGGCCTTCGTTTAATGAACTCGACGACGCGTCCCCATTTTGTATGACATCCATCCTATTCACTTCACTCATGCACACTCACACACNCACACACGTAATTGCGCTCAGTGACCATGGAATAAGCGTCGTCAATCGGGTTGCCGGTTTTCATTTCCTACCTCTCTCTCCATAGTTCTCCTCAAGAAGGACGGCAGACAGACACAATCGTCTACGACGACGACGACCGTAATCGTTTCACCGGAATGTCTCAATGAACCCGTCAGTTCTCAGACAAAACACCCAATTACCACGGTTTAATTTACAGTAAACACTCCTGTCAACGAGAATTGTACCTGATTGAATAGCTGATGACAAATGCTATCTGACTCCAGGATAGCCTAATGTTCTCACTACATAAGTTGCACTTCCGTTTAGTTGAGCATAGCTGTGATCACCTCCCATGGTCATTAACACCTCTACAGAATACGGTCAACTCTCACCCTCTTAATTGCTGGGTAATGATAACCCATTCGGGGAGAACTCGCTCAGAGCGATTCACAGCTGTCACGTTTACCCTCGCACGGTGAGATCGCTACCCAAGTGGGATCGGAAGTGGTCCCAGAGCTGAATAATTGCAAACGCCTGAAAAGAAGAAGCTTTGTGATGAAAAGAAAGATGTGTTAGAGCAGGAACTACACCCAAAGGTTCCAGGCCCAGGCTTCTACCAACATGACGCGAAGATTCAGTGATTGGGGTACTGTAAGCGACAGCCATTAGCCAGAAATGGAACTAACAGCCGAAATGGAGCGATTGAGAGTCGATCTACTGACCCATAGCCTGATCGGCAGTTACTGGCGCATTTGACTGGACTGCGATAGATCGTTGTGATCGGATTCCTGAAGGGGCTATACCCAGTTTTACTCGTGCAACGATGATGATGGGCACTACGTCGAAAACGATCGAAACGGACCACGATGATGCAGTTCCGTAGTTCTCTGCTGAAGAAGCCCGTGTAGAGATCACAGGAGAATTTGTCCCCTATTCCATTTTTAGGCAAAAGGATGCTACCAAATCAACAATACTAAGCCTAAGAGGAGTGCCCGATAGGTTGAGCTTCGGGAACCTTCCCGATAGCTTCGAATCACTGCATTCTTAACTTGCCATGAAGCATTAATGAGAGAAATTGAGCGTTCGAGGACGAGTGATTTGAAGCAAAGTGCACACTCTACTACTCGTATGTTGTGCCGTAGCAGAAAGGCAGAATGTTTTTCTAGAAATCGAAAAATGATTTCGCCATGGTGATTAAATGACTTTCATGTTAATGTTAGCGTTCAAGATCGTCGTCACAATGGATCCACTTCAGTGGAATGAGACATATAATTGAACTAGAAAAACACTACGCTTCCTACAAGAAATACTCCAAGCTGTCCGGTCTCCGAAACGCATGAGACTCTCAAACTACAAACGCACACATACACACGAGGTAAAAGAAAACATCTCCATCAGCTCTAATTACTCGATAGTTAAAGTTAGGAAAAATAGAGAAAAGTAAATGTGCTTCCGAAGTTTCTTGAGGAACTCGGTGTTGTTACCAGTTTTGTCAATTCCTGGCATCGAAGAAAGCAGGAGTAGGTTCTTTAGGAGTATAGCAACCCCTAATGACCCAACATGACTGAACCTTCCCTTGACGACAGTTCTGTGGACTGCGACAAAACGCATGGCTTCAGGAATGGTCCTCGGTGAGACCGGAAGACAGTCCTGCACTTCTTCTCTTCCTGATCCCAACTTAGATTGAACTTAGACCCCATAGAGGCAATGAGACCTACCTCTCCTACATAAAACTGGGCCTACATTTCCTTGGCCATGATTTTTGAGATGGCATCGAAGTCCTTGAGGAGGAAGCAAACTCAATAGACCCACCGACGATAACTAAAACTTCATCAATGATTCAAAAGCTGCAGAAATACGAATACACGGCCCATCCCAATGAGGTGATGAAAAGCCTGCAAACTCCAGAAACAAGGACACTTCATCATTTACCTACAATGTGATTTATCTGAACTTTTTCATGGGAATAGATAGGTATTAGAGCTTCCAGTAAAGCCTCTTCTTTTTCGTTTCAACCTAATTTTGCATTCGTTCGTCCAATGCATACCCTTACTGAAACCAGTCTGCCTGTCACTGAGCGTTATCCTCAGCGGAAATCATTCTGTCTATCAGTGTATTGCTGTATTTCATAGCCATTATGGTGTGAAGCTGACTCTTGGATTACTTCCCATTGTACTTTACTGCATCCTTGGCCCCTGAACGATCCACTAGAGAAAGTCTTTACTGTCAGCCGGTAATCCCCAACGGTATCCCACTGCTCCATTCCCAAGCATACAGACACAGGAAGAATATGTTGAATGGCTTCGGAAATTGTTCATATCGTTTCACTGGCGTCGCTGTTGTTCATCATTACGCTGGTGGTTTTTACACGTTCCTCAATTGTCTGCCTGTTTCTTTGGAGTGCTGCGATGAGAGGGGCGGGATCACGGGGCCCCGCCCACATAGGTCGCCAAGCCAATCAACGCATTCGTAGCTCGTTTAGTCGCTATCGAGCTCTATTACTCTACGGTAGCAATGAGTATGCTGGACCCTCGGCAATTTCTGATGCCAACATTTTGTCTGGACCCATCCGCGGCATCATTGTTGAGCCAACAGCCCACACAGAATTCCAGTGGTGGCAAACTGACACATTCATTTCGTATTTCTGACTTACTGGAATCGCCCAGCGAAAAAGCCGATACCAGTACCGACAAAGGTGAGAGCTTTGGCTTTTTTCCGTCTTCATTCTTTCTTTTGAGCTTCCTTTTCATCTTTTTTCGCTTTTTCATGATGACGATTTGTTTCTCCTTTGAAACTGGTATCACACACATGCTGTATTCACTAGCTGAATGACTATCACCCACTGCCACCTGTCAATTTCGGAACTCATCCGGCCATGTTGCCTACAATACAAACGGGCGATTTTGGGCAATTAGCCAGAACTCAAGTGGAAAATGATAGTGTTTACGAGATTTACGGCGACATCGGATTATCCGATTGTTAACCTGCAGATTTTCGAAGGTCAAATTGGCTTATGATGAGCTGTACTAACTATGTAGACTACCCTTACAAATAAAGGCGTTCTTCTTTGATACTTTGCTTTCTAGTGGATCGTTTTCCAGATCATTCAACGGCATCACGACCTGATACGCCAGAATCCGGCTGTTCACAAGTTCGGAGTAGTCCCAATGACACGAGCCCACTTGGATCGAAGAAAGCCCGAAAAGCGAGAACGATTTTCACCGACAAACAACTACAAGAACTCGAATCCACTTTCGAAAAACAGAAGTACCTGAGTGTTCAAGATCGTATGGATCTCGCTCAACGTATGGGTTTGACGGACACACAAGTCAAAACCTGGTATCAAAATCGGAGGTTAGTATTATCAAAGTCAAGTTTTTTCCCGTTTTCTCTTCGGCTTCCTTCTTTTCCATTAAATTATTCGGTCATTTTTGAAATAACAGCTACAGTAGCCATTCAAGTATGGCCTTTAACATGCTCATATATGGTCCTCAAGATCTCGTGTAATATTCTCAAACGACAGCAAAACGCATTATGCGGCATTGTCCGCCTAATATAGATGATTAAATTATCGGGGCCGCGTTCTATTATTCCTGCGCTTATTAATAGCATAAAGTATTGCGTGTGTTGTTTTAAGAGGGGCAGGCACCGCCATCTGTCGGCTACAGTCACGGAAAGGGATATGGGGGACGGGGGGCTGGGACCCATCAGAATCGCTTTCATGAGGTGTGAAGAACGCGCGGCGGCTTCGACCGTTTGACAGACGGCCAGCCAGATGCGGAATGAACTGAACCTATGGGGGAGATTGCTTTACCGAGCCTCAACTTCAGCCTCTGCCCACCTGGGGATTTAAAGTTCTGCACAGTTCGTTATTGATGGCGTCAGGGGTTTTTACAGCTTGCCTTCTTATTGCCTTAGGAGATCCTAAGCCGGGGAAGATCTGATCAAGGGTTTCCGCAGAGAGGAAATGAGTTCATTCTAAAAACAACTGGTTACCAGATTATGGTGAAAGTGTTTGTCGACTTCCCTTAGAGAGTCATGATTTAATCAACAGCTGTCTTACCTCTGACAAGACTCGCAAAGCAAGCGAAAGAGCTAGAGTGATCGACTGAAACCTATTCACTTCGCTGAAGTCCCTCTTTTGGTGATGAACTCCACTGGCTCAAAATATGCCCCCACTCCACCTGGGACAATCATTACTATCATGTCATCCCAAAATTCAAAAATGTCAAGAAACCATTGTGAATTGTCCCAGTGTTTTGAACGACTGTTTTCAGGACAAAATGGAAACGGCAAGCGACAACCGGTATGGAACTGCTCAACGAGGCTGGAAACTTGGCAGCTGTTCAAAATTTACTTCGATCCAATCCCTACTGGGCCGGATACGTTGGCCAACTAGGTGGTATGCCAACACCAATTCCACTAATGATGGGATTACCGTTATCAGCCACATTACCATCCCTTCCACATTCGCTTTCTTTTGTCCTCCCACCAACGTCACATGTTGGCCCATCAAAAGAGTCGACGCCTGTTGATGTCGAAGTCACCACAGCAAACTAGTACGGCTTGTGTCATTTATATGATCTCTTCTCTCCTCTCATGTTATGTGTAAAAAAAANAAAAAAAATAGCTGGATAAATGTGTGCTAAATGGAGGCGGGCAGTCAGTCAAGCAGCAGTCAGGTGGGGCAAGCAGGCAGGCGACCAGCAAATAGCAATGGATGGACCTGCACATGTTGTTTGAGTTGGTGGACCGTGTGATACGGTAATGATGTTAATTAGTGGGCAAGATGATGCGACCGTAACAGCAGTGATTCTGCTGCTGCTCTTTATGGTGGAGCGGGGGTTATGGGGGCCATGGGGCCCAACGTTCGCTATGCGCATTGAGGAAACGGGCCAGGAGACCTTATCCCTTATTTTGTGTGCAGCTGTTTTTCTATGTGAATGATATGAAAACGGTCTATCTAGTCATTTTATTCGATTGTTTCCTTCATCCACAATATTTTCACTTCTCTACTCAATTTATTGATCGGTATTGATTGAACTATTGATGCTGTTCCATACGTAGAAATTGGCAGATTCACATTAAGCATTAACAAGTGATATCTGCATTTGTGTGTCATGAATCAAAGTAAGCAGCCCAATTTGAAATCACCTGAGAGCTCCCTCTCCTCTTTTGCCATTAGTGGGTCCCGTCACGCGTACATCACTCCTGCACAGCTGCTGTCGTATCGATAGTGAATGCGCAACACCGTTTGTTTCCCTTCACAATTGCTGTGTTACATAATATTCAATAATGATAATTGCTTGTGTTAATCTTTGCATATAAAGATCTATGAACGATAACTGTTATTAAGTTGTTGCGTATGCATATGTGTGGGTTTTTAAAGTCATCTAATCGNCTTAATCGTCTTACTTGGCAATGATCGATCTGTGCGCCAAAGCTAATCCATGAGTTCAAGCACAGGGTTTTTCCACGGACAGACGGGCAGGCAGATCGACAGACAGTGAGTTAAGAGGGAGAGTTCAGCACCTCATCTCGTAAAGTGATCGTTCCCCTCAGTTTTTTCACCTCATCATCATCTTCGCCACACGTTTTTCACGTTTCGCTCTGTAGCTGTATGTGTGTATGTTTGACATTGAAAGTGCTTCGGATATTCCGAGAATTCATGGTCGGTCTCACTTCACTTCCTCGTACTGCTCTAACCCATTTGATGTGCGATGATCCGCCATTGGTATAGCTTTTCAAAAGCCGTTCATCTAATTGTCGGGAAACGCCACACTTCGGTCCGCATCTCAGCTGCAAATTGTGTTGTCGTGCTTTATAATGGATGACACCCATACTTAATGACAATCTTAGAAACTGAGATGTGATTGTCGTGCTAGTGTGTGTTGTCGAAATTGAATTTGCAGTCGATTTGGTGTTGGTGCGGAAACCGCCAATTTGAGGAATGCGTGTGAGTGGAGAGATTGAGGGAGAGGGGGACAGATGAGGCCTGGCCTCATCTCAATCACATATTTGACTTCCGTGACGTTGTGACCGAACGAACGGAAGGCTTCGATGGCGATGGTGTTCGCCCGTCCGTTCACCCATTCGCAGGTGCGATATCGCGCGCGCGGAACAAGCACCCAGATTGAACGGGACGACGATGGGCGCGTCACTTACGGAAATCCAGTTACCACTAAGCGCGCCAAATAGCACATCGAAACTGACTCTCTTTGGCGCATACACCCAAACACACACACCATTCGCCGACAACGTCTTACTGTACTTCAATTATTCGCACTGCGCTCAGCGTGACCGCACGTCATTAAACTGTTGTTGTTGTTGTCGTGGGCTGGTGGACATTAGCTTCAATAGGGGGGAAATTCATGGAAATTTCACACTATCATCTCCCACTCCAGAGCCGAGAGGACCACCGATTGCGGCAATCTCATTGACACCACCACCACCACGATGGCAGCGATTGTTCCAGGCCGGCGGCGGCAGCTCAATTAAGGCGACACTATGCGACACAATGTTAATCGCCTTCTTACATATAACCTTGCTTGTAGTCGGTAACTCTTTCCTCAATTGAGATGCGAGAAGAAAGATGAGTTATAATTGCCGTCCCATCATCTACCCCACCACCACCACCACCTAAAGGACATAACAACGTGGCTCCGAAAATAAATTGCCAACGGAATGATCATCTCGTATTCCACTTCTAGATGGACGATCCCCCCAAAAGAACATCTATTCGAAGGCATCTAGCACTCTAGGAGGATGACTGAAAGACCAGTCGCAGTCATACTGCCCATCCAGGAAATCTATGTACTGTCCCTGTGATTACTGTACAGGTTCTTAGAACGAGTCTATTACATTAATGGGGTCGTATGAGAGGTAAGAGGACAAGTTCATAGCCTCCTCACAATGATGTTCATGGGTTAGGATAGTTTGTAAGTGAATCATTTAGATTACCAGTAGAGCAGTTCTTTTGAAAAGATGACTAACAAGTTGTTATTTTGATATGGTCACGTATTTGAATCACGGAAACTCGGCTAAATGTTCCAGTTTGTTGCGGCTACCGTAATTATGATTTTAACTTGTTAGAATATTCAATGAATGGTGTCGGCCACTAGACGAAGCATTGTGTTAACACTTCTCCGACTTCACTCATTCGCTCGACCTAATGCTTTCACGCCAACCAAGCATTCAGCGTGTTCTTCTAGCCCAGCAAACAGCAATAGTCCTACACCTTTTGTCATTTTCCGACCTATAGCCCACCAATAGAGGGCTCCGATAAACACTTCGAGGCTGATTCTCTCCGCGACAAGGGGTTCTATGTCATGATCATTAAATACGCACGAATTAGCAGCAGCAGCAGCATACTCACTCCGTCAACGAGACACCTTCAAGAGAATTCCGGAAAAAAGGCTCATCCACGGCGCACCCAATTGTAAACATCGCTTTCTGACTAGTGATTGGGTCCTCATTTCCTTTGCAGGACCAACAGCTAGTACTCTGAGCGTCTTGTGTACCAAAATACACTGCAGCAGGACTTGTTGCTTTCTCCTTTGCAGACCTTACCACCTACCTGAAATCAGCCACCAAACTTTTTTTTACCCTTACTGACGGCCAAACTGTTGAACCGTACAGTTTGTGGGACCAGTCCACTCCACCATTACCCTTAGAACACCGTTTGCGCCCTTCTACATCATGGCCCTAACAGATTAGATACCCCTAGTAAGGAGGTTATAATGTATGTAGTAAGTAGAGAGTAGTATCAATGGGTATCATAACTTATTCAGTTTAGGAATGTAACGAGTACGGTATTGCGTCGCACGGTGGAGGTGAATCGGTCCATAATTGCTACTCACCTCACATAACAACACTGTGTCCTTACGATGCGCACAATTCGGTTATAATTCTCTTCGGTATTACAGTTTAATCGACATGAGTCGACGAAGGATGAGAGGGGGNGGGGGAGAAACTCACCCACCCACCCCCTCGAAGAGGTCGTCATCATCATCATCATCATCATTGCACGGAAAAAATCGAGGTATGTGAACGCGTTTTTCCCCCCACTCCAACAATCTACACCTCTTAGCAGCCACTGCAACAGCAGCAGCAGCAGCTACGAACGGAGAAAATAACTACGGTAGACGAGAGACGATTTGGTGGGGTGTGGGGTGTTTTCGAGGTAAGAGCCCTAAATGGACGCTTCGCAGACTAGATTACTTCAATGAGATTGCGCCTCGGCGTTGAGGGGGGTTTTTGGCCGGTTTTAGATAAATTTGAGGGCCCCCCTAATGGATTAGAATTAGCACAAAGTGTCGTGTTTAGGATCCATTCTTCCGCTGATGCTGCTGCTGGGCGTGCTCTGCTAGTTAGCCAACAAAAAACATCGTTCAGAGCTTCTCTCTCCATACTCGATGGTATCAATGGAATGTGATATCCTAATATGGGCCATGAACGTGTCGAGTTTATATTTCGATGGTATGATTATCTAATTAGTTGGCAAAAGACAATTGTACTAATCGGCTTGACCTGATGACGCAGACAACAGCCAATGGTACAGTAATCCCCCCGTTGCACACTATTCATCCACTTGAATGATCCTTAAACTAATAATTACAATTTTGGGAATTTGAACAGCAATTATCAGAAGTGATCTGATCTGATCTGGAGTGCTTTTCTGAATCCACCTTGATCTAGAAAGGACCCACAAAAGTCAGACAGTCAGTCCTCTTCAACAATTATGGAAAGCTTTGGTTCTAGGAGGAAAAACAACAAAGTAATGGCGTTCAGAGAGAGGGAGCAGTATCGTCGCCCTCGATGAGGGTATCAATTAGAAGAGTCACTGCCAAGCACCATAGACATAGAGATAGAGAGACCATGGACCTCCCGGTGAATTAGCGTGCGGTTTTTCTGGTAAATTGAAGGGAAGTTTGTGCGTGAAATGAGCCAAACAAGGACAAAAATCTAAATTTATGCTGAAACCGGCAATTGGTGGACATAGCACGTTTCCGACCCATACACACGCACAATGCGATCATCCCCCCAGTCTACAGTCACTTGCCGATGGATTGATGCACAACCAATTCAACACCAAATGAACAGTGGCGATTCCAATTCGCGTGCGTTCACTGGTGAAGGATTTCCAGTGATCCGGGCGGTCATCCAACCTTTTTTTCTGCCCTCTATCCCTTCGATTTTGCTACCAAGTGCGCACAAAAGAAGTTGCTAGGTTGGTAAAAAAATAAGCTCTCACAGATGATTGGCCAAGGGTTTCAGGCATCTCGGAGGAGCAATACAAAGGTCAATTCTTAGGAACAGATTACCGGATGAAACCTTTTTTTCTGGATACCAGTTCGTGAGCTAAGATAAGAGCTGAAGTTTTCTCTATGTGATTGCTTTGGGAAAAGCGTATAATGCCCAGAAATCGAAAGCTGTTTGCCGGTTTCACAAAAAAAAANAAAAAAAATCTAAATAAACAAAGGATGGGCCTATTTGTCTCGAATGGTCGGTAGGGTCTATAAAAAAAGCAAAAAGAATAATAAATATTCGAGCCTTTTGGA